AAATGGAGGTGCCAATTGCGAACGAACTTAATCGAACGCGCCGTGTTGAGAGAGCCCGACCAACCACGCACACGAACACGGCCCCCCCAGTCCGCGAGACCAGCCTCGTGATACGAACGCTCGCGCAAAATGCGCACTCTCGAAACCGACGTGGATTCGTCCTTCTTCCGCTCCTGAGAAAGCAACAATGACGACGACGACCACGACGACGACGACGACGACGACGACGACGACCACGACGACGACGACGACGACGACGACGACGACGACGACCACGACGACGACGACCACCACGACAACGACCACGACCACGACGACGACGACGACGACGACGACGACGACGAGAGAGGAGGAGAAGGAGGAAGAGGAGGAGGAAGAGGAGGGGGAAAGGAAGGGGGAAGGAGGAGGGGAGGAGGAGGAGGAGGAGGAGGAGGAGGAGGAGGAGGAGGAGGAGAGGAGGAGAGGAGGAGGAGGAGGGGGGGGGCACACGACGACTCGGGAAGAGGAGCAGGGCCAGCGCGCGCCCCTGGCCCGCCGAGGAAGCGGAGCCACGACGCGGGCCCCCAGTACCGCGCGTCGCCCGTCGGGTTCTCCTCGCGGCGGCCGCGGGCTCCTCCTCCTCCTCCTCCTCCTCCTCCTCCTCCTCCTCCTCCTCCTCCTCCTCCTCCTCCTCCTCCTCCGCGGTGCTTCCGCGGCACCACGGCGCGGGCGCTCGCGCGCCGCCCGCGGTGCTCTCGCGCGCGCGCGGGAGCTCTGCGAGGCCGGAGCTTACAGTCGGACCTGGGCCAGAAGAGCATCCCTCAAGAGCACCAGGCCCTCCGCCGGCCAGGACCCACGGCATCCCTCGAGAGCACCAGGCCCTCCGCCGGCCAGGACCCACGGAGCATCCGAGGGCACCCTCCCCAGGATGCAGAAGCACATCCCACGAGCACGAAGAACACTGGGGGGTGCCCTCCCCGAGCCGACCTCGATCTCATACCTCGGTCCGGCTGCGCGGCAGAATCGTGCCGTAACGATCCTGGAGCTGGTTTCTGACACCGCGTGGACGCTCGAGCTGAAACGATCGGCGGAGCTTCGATCGCCAGGTCCTTCCCTGTTGGCCGACTCTGGGCCGCTGGCGGCTGTCAACCTTGAACGCCCGCGGCGGGGTCCCCGCCGCGTCGGCACGGCGTGAACCTGCCGTATAGGTGGAGGCCCGTCCACAGGAAACCTGCCACGGGAAGCCCAGCCCCGAGACCCCAGGGCGTCCATCGAGTTGTTTGGGTGTGGGAGCGCCACGCCCTCCATCGCAAGACCACGGAAACCCAAGAAACCCCGGGGCACCCCGGAGGCGAGCAGGGTGTTTCTCTTGGCATGGGCTTCCACGGTATACGTCTGCACACAGCCTGGAGAACCGACGCCACAGGGCCCCGGGGGGCGGTGGATCTGGGCCTGCTCGGGCACCTGGGGCCCCCGTAGATCCGCACTGGTTCTGGCACTGGTGGCCCTCGGGCGTCGCCGCTGCCAATCGGCACGACCATGCTGCGGAGCCCGGCCTCTGGGATTGCCAATCCTCTGGGATCGCCACTCCCCTGGGATTGCCTCCTACTCTCTGGGGATCCCAGCTTCTGGGACTGCCAACCATCTGGGATTGCAAATCCCCTGAGGTCGCCAATCCTCTGGGATCGCCAATCCTCTGGGATTGCCTAGTCTCTGGGGTGCCAATCATCTGGGATTGCCAAGTCCTCTGAGGTCGCCGATCCTCTGGCATTGCCAATCCTCTGGGATCGCCAATCCTATGGGATTGCCAATCCTATGGGATTGCCTAGTCTCTGGGGCTTCCAACTTCTGGGATTGCCAATCCTCTGAGGTCGCCAATCCTCTGGGGTGCCAAAGACGAACGCTACCAGACCTCCCCCCCGCAGCGGCCCTCGCCTCTGGAGGCGGAAGAGAAGCCAGGCAGCTGCAGGGTGCAGATGAGGGGACCCCAGAGAAAAAGGTAATCCCTGGCAGCAGGGTGCAATCCCCGGCAGGAGGGCTCAGTCCCCGAAAGCCAATTTCTAGATGCTCAGCTTTGAAGCTGAGAATTGCTCTGGTGCGCTTCAAGGAGCCTCCCGAGGGGCCTCTTGGGCCTCCCGAGAGGCCTATTGGGCCGCCCGGTAAGCCTCTTGGGCCTCCCGAGAGACCTCTTGGGCGTCCGGCCTCCCGACTTGCTTTTTGGGCCTCCCGACTTGCCTATTGAGCCTTCCCGACAAGGCTCTTGGGACTCCCGAGAGGCGTCTTGGGCCTCCCGAGAGGCGTCTTGAGCCTCCCGAGAGGCCTCTTGAGCCTCCCGAGGAACCTCTTGGGAATCCCGGCGGCAGCTTGGGCCTCCCGACTTGCCTCTTGGGCCCTCCCGACAGGGCTCCTGAGCCTCCCGAGAGGGAGGGCTCTTGGGCCTCCGGAGAAGCGTCTTGGGCATCCCGAGAAGCGTCTTGGGCATCCCAGAGGCTTTTTCTTGGGTCTTCCCGAGAGGCGTTCTGGATTTCCCGAGAGGCGTCTTGGGCCTCCCAAGAGGCGCTTTTGGGCCTCCCAAGAAGCGTCTTGGGCCTCCCCAGAAGCCTCTCGTGCCTCCCGAAGGGCCTCTTGAGCCTCCCAGGAAGCTTCTTGGGCCTCCCGAGAAGCCTCTTGGGCCTCCCGAGAAGCGTTTTGGGCTTCCCGAGAGGTCTCTCAGGGCCTCCCAAGAGAGCCTTTTGGGGCTCCCGATAAGCCTCTTGGGCCTCCCGACTGGCTTCGTGGGCCTCCCGACTGGCCTCGTGGGCCTCCCGAGAGGCCTCGCTCTTGGGCCTCCCGAGAGGCCTTATGGGCCTCCCAGGCGACGTGTTGGGCCACCCGTCTTGGACGGTATGAGAGCCGGTAAGGCGAACATGGTAAAGATGTGCGCGCTCATCCACGGGACTGGGACGATGTTTACATATTGCAGCATTGTAGAAGTCCAGCGGACAGAACGCGCTCCTTTAGCGGCCGAGCGCCCGTCAACAGATGGTGTGGATATGCGTGTATGTACACATCTAGTTAACACTCAATGCACCACCTGCATCAAACATAGTGTGCGAGATATCAATCAAAGGGGCCTTCGTGCAATAGTTGGGTGTAGCAGCTTACTATGACTCCCTTCCAGAGCGTTGTGCCTGAAAGCTTGATCCCCAGTGTGTTGATAATCTGACAGGAGGCCATATCAGCCCAAGATATCCCCGAGGTGAGTCCCAAAAAAAACACAATATGGCCCAAACGTTTGCCTGAGATGGGACGCACAGAGACAGACTGGTACTATGTGTCCTCATTGGAGACGCGCGACCGACCCGAACATATAGTATACCCATATTGTAGTATATCGTTTCCCGAGCGGTGTGGCCAGAAAGCGCCCGCCACGACGCATACATTTTAAGACTTCTCGGTGCGCGTGTCGCCCCTCGGGGGGGCGACGCACACATAGTACTGGCATCGGGGGCGCGCAAACATGAATCGGGTGAGTTGCCCTCCCCTAGATGCGGCCAGTGCCGCCTTGGTTCGGCGAGGGAAATCCGATATTTCTCATGGAAGCGGGACCCGTCGCTAATCCACGCTCCCTTGATCCGTGTTTGCGATCGCCTGATGGTATGTTGGGGCGACGCCGATGAGATGGCCCGGAGGTGGCCCCCAGAAGCCGAAAAAATGCCCCTGGAGGTCCCAGCCCACAACAAGGCCCTCAGGGGCCCCGAGACTGCCCCACGGCGTGGCCACAGGATGGCTGGCGGGTGACCCGCGGCAGAGGGCGAAGCTCCTCAGACCTGCCTCCTCCTCCTCCACCTCCACCTTCCCCCCCTTCTTCCTCCTCATCCTCCTCTTTTTCGTATTATTCGTCTTCTTCTTCGTATAGTATTATTCCTCATGATAGTATTAGTATTCATACTGTTCAGAATAAGTTTCGTATTAGTAGTTTTATTGATGTTAGTAGTAAGCTTCATGATAGTCTTCTTTTCTTATTAGTATTAATACTCTGCTAGTATTCGTTTCAATATTCTTAGTTTCTCCATATGATTCGGAGTATTATTCTTGATAGTAGCAGGAATAATATGAGTATGAGTCGTTGTATTCGTATTAATTTTATTGTTGGTAGTAGTAGTTGCAGTGTTATTCGTTGTATGATTATTACGATTCGCAGTCTTCTTATTATGCTAAGTGATATTCGCATAATTCGTCTTATCCTTCCTATTGAAAATACTAAGATTCGTCGCATGCTCATTATGACTGGTATTCGTATTACGACTATCATATAATTCCTCCTCCTCCTTCTCCTCCCTCCCCCTCCTCCTCCTCCTCCTCTTCCTCCTCCTTCTCTTCCTCCTCCTCCTCCATCTATTACTCCTCCTCCTCCTCCTCCTCCTCCTCCTCCTCCTCCTCCTCCTCCTCCTCCTCGTCCTCCTCCTCCTCCATCGGCGTTGTCGGCGTGAAGAAAATCGAGCCACGCATCGAGCCGCATCGCCGATGCATCGGCAATGCAGCGCGATCCTCCGACCCCATTTACGCGGCCCCCATCCAGGAGGCCGACTATGTTCGATGACAAAATAATTCTATATATATCAAAAGAAATCCCCGAACAACCCCTCGGACAACGTGGACAACCCATGCTGATTTGGGACGACACAACGCCCTACTCTGGACAACCCCTGGGACAACCCAGCGTGGATCCCCCCAGAATTAGAACAAAAAACAGCATAAATATAAATTGTCGACAGTCCGCGCGGATTTCTTGGATCCGCGCTGAGCCCAAGGGGCGGCGCCAGAGGCGCCGCCGGGGGGCCCCGGCGTGGATTCAGGAGATCCGCGCGGAGCGCCAGAACCAAAAAAGTGTATGCTTATCGCATGGTGTTCCTTCTTCGAGGCGTTTGCTTCCACAAGACATCGCAGATGGGCGCCCCCCAGCTCTGCTCTGCGGCGGAGGCCGCCCCCCCGGGCCCGTCCTCGCGCCAGGAGCCGGGCCCCGCGTCGGCGACCCACCTGGGCGCGCGCGCCGCGCCCCCCCCGACCAGGTGGCCCTTCCGGCGCCGGGAGGGCGAAATGCGCTGCATGAGGGGCCAGTCTTCCGCCACCACCACCATAGGCAGGACGGGGGAGAAGGGAGGATGGGGAGGTCATCCTTCTCCTCCTTCTCCCCTCCTCCTCCGCCGCCTCCTCCTCCTCCTCCTCCTCCTCCTCCTCCTCCCTCTCCTACCTATGGTAGGGGTGGTGGAAAATCGGCCCATCACTGCAGGCTCAGACAAGTCTACTTGCACAGCGTTTCGGGGCCCCCCTCCCCAGGGATCGACCCAAACAGCGTTCTTCGTGGTCGTTTTGAATGTGGTTTTCCTTCGTTCTGTCTTCAACCCGCCTTGGCTGAAAAACGAAGTCGAGACGAAAACGGCCCACGAGATCGCTAAATACGCTTGAGGCTGACCCCTGCCCCTCCTCCCTCCGCCGCGCTTTCAAACGGCGCTGGGCCAAGAAGGCGTGCAGGGGTGCCCCGACTGGCGCGGAAGTCCAGATCTGCCTCTGGGCCTCGCCACGCCCCCCCCCCTCCCCCTCCGTTCGGCGGCCCTCCTGGGGGGAAGTGAGGAGGGGGGCGGGCCCTCTCAGAAGGCTCGAAGTCCCCCGGCCATCTGGGAAGTTCTCTGCGCCTTCCCCGAAGACACCGAAAGCTTCGCGGGAGGCCGGAGGGCGCTTCTGATAAGCACCGCCGCCTTCTGAGAAGGCCTCCTCCTCCTCGCTTCCCCCCCTCGCCCGCCGCCGAACTCCAGGCCCCTGTCGGCGCAGACGCCCGGCCGCTCCGATCTGTTCGATGCGTGGGCCCCGAAGTCAGTCTGGACCGCCTCCCAAGAGCCAGTTTTGCGTCCTGAGTGGTTCTCCCACGGTCCCGAGGCCCGGCTGAGGGCCCCGGAGGCCGAAGACAGCACCCCCGCTCAGAAAACTTCTCACTCAGAAGGCCGGGGGACTTCCGAACGTTCTGAGAAGGCCTCCTCCTTCTCACTCCGCCCCTCGCCCGCCGCCGAACTTAATGATGCCGATAAGGATGTGTTTTGTCCACAGACCTCTTCACGGCACGTTCCATCGGAGCCCTTTCCGGAACGTTCGTCCAGCGATAAAAATGTGCGTGTTTGTTGCCCACAGACCTCTTCTCGGCAGAATCTGGCGGAGCCCTTGCCAGAATGTCCTTCCAGCGTGTGTTTTCCTCCGACGATATACAATCAACCCGTACAGTAAGGGCGCACGATAAGGATGCAAGGGCATTGGAAGGCCATGCCGACACTTTGCGAGCGGCGCGCGGCCAGCTGCTCATCGGTCTTCGGCGGCCTTCTCCACGAAAGTTGGGCCGCCAGGATCAACAAGGGACACATCATCGAACAGCCCAGGAGGAGGAAGGCATGGACGTGTTCTGTGCAGGCCAAGGCGCCTGCATCCCAGCCCGCACCCCACGAGCAAGCTCTTATCCTGACGCGATGAGTGTTGGCGGCGCGCAGAGGGGGGTAAGGGGAGGGGGGAAGGCCTCTTAGAAGGGGGCTGCTTCTTAGAAGGCGCCGGCCTGGCATGTATAGAGAAGGCCCGCGCCGACTGAGAAGCAGGGGTGCCTCTGAGAAGCCTTCCCCCCTCCCCCTACAGTCGGACTTGATTGGACAGGACGCGCGAGAGGACACAAGATCCTTCCGAGGGCCACATTGCCATAGGAATGTAGGAAGCATGGGTCGCGAGATACAGGACACAAGGGTACCCTTGATTTGGCAGGGTCGACCTACAAGCCTCGTCAAAAATATCCAGAAACGGAAGCTGAAATCCTGGAGCACGATGCCTTCGGGCACTTGTCAGAAAGCGCGTTCTTCAATGCTGAGAGGGTGGGGTCGGTTTTTGCACAACACCGCGCCCGAGTCCACAGGCATCCGTCGGCATTGGAGCAGCGCTGACCCCACGATCACCGAATCCAGAAGCCCTCTGCTTCTTTTCGACGAGGCCTGCGCTCTATCCGGGGCCGACTGTGCCCCCCCCCCTGCGCGTGGCCGAGGGAGCCACTGCTGCCCGAGCGCGCTGGCGGCCCCGCGCCGGGGCCCGCCGAGACAGCGCCAGGGCCCCCCCCCGGCGCTCTTCTCGCCCCTCCTCCCTCCTCCCTCCTCCCTCCTCCCTCCTCCCTCCTCCCTCCTCCCTCCTCCCTCCTCCCTCCTCCCTCCTCCCTCCTCCCCTCCCCGGGCCTGCCGAGGGCTGCTTCTCGCCGCCACGGCCGGCTCCGGGCTCGAGCCACGGGCCGGGACTCCGGGAGCAGAGCGGATGGGCACGCACAGAGACAGCCTGCCAGGAGTCCCTCCCAGAGCGTGGTGCCCGGAAGCTTGGTCCTCCGTGCGCTGGTCATCTGGCAGGCGGCCACATCAGCCCAAGATACCCCCGAGGTGAGCCCCGAAAAGGCCCCAAGATGGCCCAAGCGTTTGCCTGAGATCGGGACGCACAGAGAGAGACGGGTGCTGTATGTTCTCCTTGGAGGCGCGCGCCCGACCCGAACATGCAGTATACCCATCTTGTAGTACATCCTTCCCCGAGCGGCGCGGCCAGAGAGCGCCCGCCACGGCGCACGTGCTGTAAGACTTCTCGCTGCGCGCATCGCCCGCGGGGGGGGCGACGCACATCATGTGGTCTGAGCATGTTGGGGTGACGCCGACGAGAGGCAAGGGCTCCCAACTTCGCGCTTCGCGCGCTGCGCGAAGCGCGAAGCGCGAACAACTTCGCGCTCCCGCACCGCCTCCCAGGGGAGAAGAGGAGGATGAGGAGGAATCGGAGCCGAACCGCGAAACGCGAAGCGCGAATAACTTCGCGCCCTCGAGGAGGAGGAGGAGGAGGAGGAGGAGGAGGAGGAGGAGGAGGCCGAGGAGGAGTAGGAGGAGGAGGAGGAGGAGGAGGAGGAGGAAGGGAGGTAGCAGTCGGGCTCGGCCTCCGAAGGCCGCAGACGGAGCCGGTCCGTGCCGGAGCGGCTCGGACGGAGGCCGGGATCGGAACCTCGGGATGGGGTCGGGTCGAATCGGACCGTGGCACGCGCCAGGCGCCAAGACATAGGGAGCCCACAAAGGACGTACGCGCCCAGCTATGTACATGAACACGGCCCCTCGATTCGCGAGACCGGCCGCGTTATACAAAATTTGTGCAATGCGTGCTCTCGAAACCAGCGCGGATGCATGTACATGTACGTCCTTCTTCCGCTCCTGAAGACAGTCGACCCGTGTCAGAAGGACACACGATGAGGATGCAAGGGCCTGGGAGGGCCATTTCGAGGCCTTTCGAGCGGGGCGCCGCCAGCGAAAGTGGCCAAGGATGGGCCGCAGGGGCCAGGATGCAAGGGCACCCTCGGGCAGGTTGCCCATCCTTATCATGCGGGTTGACTGTAGCGCAGCCAGAGAATCATCGAACAAGGAGGGGGAGGAGGAGGAGACGCTCAACCACAAGGAGGCACAGCTTCGGCACCGAGGGGCGGACAGGCCGGCATATGGCGTGTGCGCGCGCGGCTCCGCGAGGCTGGCGAATCGTAGAGGCAGACAGACGCCTCGACTGCCCTCTGGACAGGTTTCCTCTGTGCTCGTGGGAGCGTGACTACCTACCAGACCACCCCAACCCAACCCGAAGACCCGAATTTCGGGTTGGGGGGGGGGGGTATGGGCTCCACATGTGTTTTTTCGATGTTCCCGGACCCCCCCCCCACTAGAAATCGAGGGTAAATTTGAGCCTTCGGGTTGGGTTGGGGTGGTTTGGTGGGTGGTGGGAGCGGCAGGGATTGAAGGATACTAGAGCGGAGAGCCCTGCCAGCGGATTCGTTCACCAGCTCAGGCTGCCCATACGCTAACTACTCCGGCTGCGACTGCTACAACTCCCTCTGCCGTTGCCGCTGCCACTGCTACTACTGATGCTGCTAGTGGTATGGTTCTGCTGCTGCGTATTCCACGTTCTGCTGCCACAGATGTCGATACTGCGACTAGTCTTGCTAGTAGTGGTGTTACTAATGATGCGACTACTGCAGCTACCACCATACACGACTACTACTCCTGCTACTGCTACTGCTACTGATTCTGCTAGTGCTACTACTACTACTACTACTACTACTACTACTACTACCAATAATAATAATCATAATGATAATAACAATAATAATAATAATAATACGACTACTACTACAACGACTAAGACTACTACGAAGAATAAAGGTACGAATCGTACGCATGATTATAATGATGACAATAATCATTTAACGGCGCGGACTACGACAACGACGACGACGACGACGACGACGACGACGACGACGACGACGACGACGACGACTACTACTACTACTACTACTACTACTACTACTACTACTACTACTCCTACTGCTACTAAAACTACTACTACTACTACTACTACTACTACTACTACTACTACTACTACTACTACTACTAATACTACTACTACTACTACTACTACTACTACTACTACTACTACTACTACTACTACTACTACGACTACAACAACAACGACTACGACTACGACTACGACTATGACTACGACTACGACTACGACTACGACTACTACGACTACGACTACGACTACGTCTAATATTACGACTATGACTACGACTGCTACTGCTGCTACCAAAACTATTACTACTACTACGACGACAACGACGACTACTACTACTACTACTACTACCACCACTACTACTACCACTACTACTACGACTACGACTACTACTATTCTTACTGCTGCTACTACGACTACTACTACTACGACTACTACGGCTACCTACTACTACTACTACTACTACTACTACTACGACTACGATTACTACTACTACTACTACTACTACTACTACTACTACTACTACTACTACTACTACTACTACCGCTGTTACTACTACTACTACTACTACTACTACCACTACTACTACTACTGCTACTACGAGAACGACTACTACGACTACTACTACCACCACTACTATTATTACTACTACTACGACTACTAC